ATTTTTCTCTTCTTCATCTTTCGCTCACCCTTCACACTTCCTTTAGCAACCTCTCGCGCTTTTCCCGCTTCTTTTGCTATTTTCTCACTTCTATCTTTCGTTCTTACAGTCTTTTGTGATTGAGTTATCCCAAATGCTTCCCTGTCGCATTGGCCACTGACAATGTTGCAATTACCCCAAACCTGGTTATCTTTAGTTTGCCTTCTTACAAACGTAATTGGATTAAGCTCTGAAAAGACCATCAACACAGCTAATAAATCCTATTACCGACCGACGAAGCACCACCTCCACCCGAACGTTCTTCTCTCGACGACCGGACGACACGCCACACTTCTTCCTCTCGACTCATACTTGGCTCTCCATCAGCCTTCACCCTTTTCTCACGCCTCTTTATTTTACAACCCTTCAAAACCCACTTTCACCTCTTGCTTTCAATGCGTTGTTGAAAATTTTGGCTTCATTGGTTCGGGGCTGGAGGGTCGGAAAGAAAGGTAATCATCGGCCATCTTTTCGTTTAGCTATTGTTGTAAGTTTAGCCAAGCTTTACAGAAGACCAGAGCATCTTTTAAGAGTCTGAGCCATTAACGAGATAGCCCCTATTGTGTTACAACGGGCATGTTGTTTAATGTCACTCCGATTAAAAAACAGGAAAAATGCGGTGGAATTTTACCTGCAGTATATATGTATACACGTATGTGTATTTTGTATTTGCCTGTCTCTTCGAAGGATTGGGATTGAAAATCCGTCCAAATTGAATCTCCCTTTAACAAAACATATCTAAATATAATGAAGAACTTTCTGATCTCAATAAATTTTGACTTTCCTTGACGTGCAGGAGTTGAGAAAGCAATTCAAAAAGTATAAGCTATGTTAATTTTTGAGTGAACCACAAAATTTATGACAGAATTTCTAGAAGCTGAAAAAATACTTTTAAACGCATAAATCTGAATATTTAAATAAAAATTGGTGCTTGTTTTGAGAATAAAATTTATTCAAGATTTTTCAAAAGTTTAAAACTAATCTCCAGTGATACATAATACTAAAGATGTGTATTTCATTTATTTATTCAGTTATATTTACATATTTTTTTAACCTTCACGAAGAATGAGTAGTTTTAAGTTGTCAAGGTTTATTAGAAGATGCATTGTTGTTGATATATATATATATATATATATATATATATATATATAATTTTAAGGGCTTAATGGATTTTTAATCCGATATTTTTCTTATTACTATGAATATTATTTTTAGTATTTACAAGTGTTTAAAGTGATACCTATGTTATATTTAAGCAGTGAAATTAATGTCAACCGGCTTAGATGAAGACGCCTTACTGAGAAAATGTACTTTCCGACAGTAGGACTAATCGATCTACAATGGTTGATATTAATTTCACTTTCAACCCAAACCTGTAACGACTAATAATAACGTTTATAGCATTAAGAAATGTATGTGTCTCTGTGTGTGTATGTGAGAGAGAGAGAGAGAGAGTAGACTCTGTGTGTGTTGGTGTGCGTGTGTTTGTGCGCGTGCCTTATACATTCTAAATAATATATGACAGTACCATTTCTCATATTGCGATTTTCACTTTGAAAGCAAGTTTACGGACCAGGCGACATTCTTTTGATAAAAAAAATCCAGTTCCAATGCTTGCATGGTCATTAAAAACTCTTTACTGATGAAATATACGTATTCCGGTTGGGCTGCAACTACGCGCTGCCATGGACAACTAGAATCAACAGACTATATGTGATACTTTCCTTTTTTCAACTTGAATAAAACAATTTGCGACAAAGTGGCTCTTCTGTTGAGACGAACTTCGCAGGAAAGAGCCTCCGTTCATATCTCACATGGGTGATTGTTCATTGTTCCCCCTCACAACTGAATGTGATCCTGCAAAGAGATACTGTCTCGGAAATACTGTAGCCATCAGTTACTCCTAGTATATATGTGATACCGTATACAGGAGGATATCAAATGCGCCTACATTTTCATAAATAGAATATCCCATCCGATATTACTCACTCCCCTGCCTCATTCTGACTCTAGTAATTAACGTCGCCTTTCCACTAGTAGCCGAGCCTGTGTTCAAGCTTGCTCACTAGATGCCAGAACACAACACAGCCTATGCGTTTCCATGATGTCAAAGTATAGTAGTGTCATATTATGTTATCGTTATATACTGCTGACCCATATCATTTATTATATCAGTTTATACATCTGAGCCTGACATGCATTTTCAAACAAAACTTACAAAATGAGTATTAATTTTTATTACATACGAGCTTAAAAACTGCTCTATCGGAATTTAAGCTAGCTCCTGTGGAATCCTCTTGACTGGACCTTAGGCCATGCGTTGAGTACATATTAAATTTGATTAAACTTGAACAATATTTTTCAAACAACTGTTTTCATCAAAACAATAATATAATGTGTCTATTTGGAAAGTTTCAAAGTTTCATGATAAACATCATTTTTAGTTTTCCCATTCGGAGTCAGTACAAATATTTTGTTTCCATTCCCAACCCTTGAACAACCAACATAGAGCTGGCCGTGAGAAAAGCTGTGTTCCATCAGCTGAAGTTCAGGTACTTTCAATGATTATCCTTAGTACTTATTGATCGACATTGCATAGCTCACTCTCACAGGAGACTAAAGTTTTTAAACTCAAAAGAAAGATCAGGAGGAATTGTTTCCTTCTTTCCTGAACCAGTAAGGAACTCTGCTTCCAAGAGATGGGAAGCATCTTCTTGACAATTTACCTTATTCCTTTACAAAGCTTTGGAGGATCCACATTTCTCTATAGCATAACTGGCACATTTTCTTTTAGTTCCAGTTTGTGTGATGCCTTTCTAGGATTCATTGAGTTCAGGAACTCTGTTGGATAATTCACTGCCTGCACTTCTTCAGCCACAGTGTCAATGGAAAAGTACTTCATGCTTTCTTTTGGAATTTTTTGGAGAAATTTCCAGTTGATGCTTTCCACAGTTTGATTCTTTGGAGCTAATATTTTCCTCTCACAAATCCAGTTTGAATCCATGAAATGATGTTTAATGTTTAGATAAACATTGTTAATCAAGTCTTTGATACTTGAAACTGAAACTCCACAATCATTTGGGAGTGAAATATCTCCATTTTCATGGTTCCATTCTGAAACTGCAACAGCAAAGCAGCAAATCTTCCTGCTTCAAGGTCACCTGTGATTCTAACTCTCATGTTTGTTTTTCATGCCGTGTCTTTGAACATGGCTCCAGATGTAAGAATTTTCAGGCAAGCATTGATTTCATCAACTGGAGTTCCTCTTGCAATGATTGTCTAAAATACCAGAGTAGCACAGTGATACCTCACATGGTTTGTGAATTCCGTCTTATGTCTTTTACTGTTTTGTTCAGGGCCTCAAATGCTCGCTTGTGTGCCATATTTCCTTTATCAGAGACAATAAAGTTTGTCTCATCCAGTGGCTTAGCCAAGTTGGTTCCTCTTTTGATGTTGAAAATAGGGATTTCATTGTAGTTCAAATCCATTGGAGATTTTAAGTTGCTATTATTGTTGGTATTATTTTAACAGGGGCTAATTGTTTTGAACACATTGCCCAGTTCTTCCGTGTTGTATCCTGTTTCTCTCAAAATTTCTCTGTTGATTTGTCCAGTTTCTCTGATTGGAGTGGCAGACCAAAATTGCTGAAATCTCTTTGAGCCAAATTCCTCACTTTGTCTTCAATTTCACAGAGTGTTACATTTACAATCTGAGGATTCAATTCCAATCCTGGATGAGCAAGTCTCATTTAAAAAAGATGATATATTTAAAAGTTAGAGTTGTGTTTCTTTAATTGAAAAAGTGTCACACACAGACATTTTTGCATTTATTATATTGATGAAAAATTACACTCTACTCTGGTTTCCAGTTCTTTCAAGCCATGTATTCGATGATTTACTAAGCATCGGTTAGACTTGGCATAAGGCTGATTCTCACTAGGTGCTCTATAGTTTCAGCCTTGTGCTAAATTTAAGCTATGCTTAGTAAATCACTATATGAAAAATGATATGATGCCATGATTTCCAGTTCTTTGAAACCATATATGTGGAAGGAGCATCTATACATCAATCAGGATCACATCATTAGAGGAAAACCTTGATACCGAGCAATATTTGGATAAACATGGATTTGTATGCGGGCAACCCAAATTAAAACCTTGTATCATATTTGTGCGTAGACAAATACGATGTATGAAAAGCGACCTAGCCGCGAAATCCACTATTTTAGCTCCACAAAGAAGGATGACAACGGTCAAGATACTTAGTTGTAGCGATGGATGTTACAGATGTTTCCTTTAGATTTTAAATTGTCAGAATTTTGTTGACTTAGGAAGGACGTTCTAGACATCCTCTCCTGCTATCAAAGAAAATGCAAATGTCTTGTCAACTAAGCGCCATGGTTTTTCATGACTTCTGGTATATATGTGATACCGTATAAAGGTGGATTTCAAGTGTCCCTACATTTTCATAAATGGAATGTTCCATCCGTCGTTACTCACTCCCTTACCTCATTCTGACTCTAGTAATTAACGTCGCCTTTCCACTAGTAGCTGAGCCTTTGCTCACTAGATGCCAGAACACAACACAGCCTATGCGTTTCCATGATGTCAAAGTATAGTAGTATCACATTACGTTATCGTTATATACTGCTGACCCATATCATTTATTATATCAGTTTATACATCTGAGCCTGACATGCATTTTCAAACAAAACTTATAAAAATGGGAATTAATTTTTATTATATACTAGCTTAAAAACCGCTCTATCGGGCAGAATTTAAGCTAGCTCCTGCAGAAGGCTCTTGATTGAGGGCTCGACACAACTGAGAAAAAAAGTCAACCATGCGATAAAGTGAGGAGAATAAATGGTTCTGAATTCATGATCTTAATTCGTATCTCGATGATTGTCCTCCCAATACTTTCGTTCAATATTCGACTAAACTGAAATTAAGAAATAACTATGGCGCCTACTATAGAGCGGTAGGTAGCAGTGGGTCGATTAATATCTTGGAAAGTGAGTCTTATTCTCATATATACCCGATGAATGAAAATTTAAATGCGACCCATAAAGGACCTAATGAGGATAACATTTCAAACCTCGTGTAGATTTCATTCTCCAACGGATTTTCCATTCTGAACTATTTTAAAACTGCTTTTTCCTTAAAACTTACTCGTTACTCATATTCCAACTATGATATTTTTGGCATCCTTCATAGAACTACATCTTTATTGTCCTAATTCTCCACTTCATCAATGAGGAATTGTAGGATTGTAATTACATGGCAACTCAGCATTTCTTGTTTCTAAGGAAATACTCACATAAGATCCATCGCTAAGCATCCTGCAAAAATTACCTGTTCATTCTATCCCCACAGGAAGTTCCTGACACTTTGTGCCATGCTGTATCTTTACAAGAGTCAGATTAGACCAAAGATGACGTATTGCTGTCATATCTGTGTTGGAGCTACTCAATAATTCCTTTCCAGCCTTGACGTGAAAATCGTTTAGGCTGTCCTATAAGAGAAGGCCTAATCTCTACTCTACAGTTTCTTTTCCATGTCTCAAACCCATCGCTACTCTATCGTTATTTCCATGGTAATTCCACTACTTCAGACATTTAGACACGCCATACTACTTCCACGAAATCGAATCTCCCTCATCTCCACCGTATTCCAAATGTAAGAAGAAAGTTCCACTTAGAGAGCTTTTCCCAAGAACTTCCACTTTGTAAAATAGACCCCTGTGTGGCTGCTTCATTGAAAACTTTAATGTTAACGTCTTCAAATCAAGAGTCAATCTCGACTTCCTACCACATCTCTTTCACTAATCTCACATCTCAGTCATCCTAAACATTTTAACAGTAATTCTCTATGTTGTGTATCGCTTCAGCCTTTTATTAGGTGAACTTTAGTATTAAAAAATCTCAATCTGTATACGTTATCTCATTGTAGAGTAATTAGCATGCTAATTTTACAGACCATTATTACTACCTTATGAGTTCGATGCTCAATATATATGGCATTGTGTGTCTATCATGACAGCGAAAAAACTATTTTTGTACACCAGTTCGGTTGTATAGTGCATTAGATCCTCACGATTATAACTAGGCGCATCAATAGGTTTGCATCTAATAATAAATAAACACAAAAGAGATATTCATTTTTAAATATAACCTTGTTAAGAAAAATCGAGTGAAAGTTTCAGTGATGTGTCAGCCTAAGAACTTTATGACTCATGGCATTACTTCGATCTTTACATGGCACTTACTCGAATTTACTGCTTTGTGGCCCAGAGGTAAGGCACGTCAGCGTAAATGATGGCACTTACTGTAGATCTCTGTTAGATGGGCACATCTATCGATCCTCCTTAATTGTGACGTTGTGTCAGAGTAAAATCAGCTTCAGAAGTAAGCCTAGTGTGCCAACCTCACCGTTCTGTCGACAAGATTTGCAACTCACCATCTGGACTAAGAAGGTGCATGATAGTACACTGTAGAATTTTAGGGTGTGCAGATGCCATCAACCCAACCAAGGATACAGAGTTTATCTGCCATTATACCTGATGAAATCTAATGTTTGTCCCAAGAGTCATTAGGGGACATCGACGCCAAAACGAGACGGTAGACATAAAAAAATGCAAGATGTGAGTGGGCAACTCATATCTGAGTTAATGCATGTATATAGAATGCATGTATATAGAATGTGAAGATCAGAAAATAATTCCCAAGCAAAATGATTGGTTTCCACGTGTACGACTGGTGCAATGCAAACGTCTTATTTCTATTTTTTCTTATATTTTCTCTTCACTAACCCTAGCTGAACAAATATTTTATCTGAATAAATATTGGCTTGTCTGATAAATTCGTTCGTTTTTCCTGATGTTATTTGAATTAACATGCAAAATATTTAACCGTAGTGTTTTGTTTTCTTTTAGGTCTATTCTTTCTCTAAAACCTTTGTTTATCGTATTTTTTAATTTGCTTGAATTTTACCTCTTTTCAAACATATGACTCACCATATTCTCCTGGTTTAGAACTCACTTTTTTTTCGATCGCTTTCCAAGAGTCTGCGTACCGTTTCCTTTAGTAACGACATGGAGTATAAAAATGGCTCCATTAATTATTCAAATCAAGATCTGGTGATTTCTGTCGTCAAGGCAAAAAGTGACAGAGAATATATTATTGACTAATTTAAAAAAAACTGTTGACCAATAAGTTTAAAATAAATTTTTAAAAAAAACGATCGAAATTTTCTGACAACCTAATAGATAAATATGCCTGTATGCTAAACGTTGACCAAAGGATCAATCGTTATATATCGTCATAATTTTCACTTCTTGTCGCCTCCTCTTACATTTATATCACACATTCCATTCTCTACCTTGAGTGGCTCTTGAACTCTGTATTGGGTGAACATTAGTAAAAAAAGCATGTGCTGTCAAGTAAGCGCTTACAAGATGGCTACATTTCCAAGCAATAATTAATGAACCTTTTCAGTCATTAAGACTGCAGTGATTCATAGTCACTTCCCACTTGTAGTTAAGCTTAGTTTAGACTTTGAACGCCTCACTGTGGAACAATGGTGAGTATATTAGTTTCGGTGTCTATTACAATTGTTTAATAGTATCAATCCTTCTATATGACAGCGAATGGATAATCTCATTCTAATCACAGATGAAGAAGAGACTTGAAGCAACAGAAAGGTAGCTATACAGAAGGACGCCGAGAATAACATAAACTGAACATGTGAACAACGACGAAGTTTTACAGAAAATGGAAAGGACACATACTTAACACCAGGAAGAAATAGCTGACATTTTTAAGACACATAATGAAGAAAGATGGCTTGAAAAATTTGACACTAACAAGACATATTGAGGTGGGAGGGACAGAGGAAAACAAGGCAGTAACCTACATAGAAAGCTTGAGTAAATGGATAGTGGAACAAGGTTTAGGAGAAAGATAACAAAAAGTGCTACAAAGGACAGGAAATTATGGAGAGCCATGATCGCATACGTCATAAAGGGACACCGCGAATAGAAGTAGTAATTCGATCTACACTAATTCCCAAAATTTTATAGTCTCGTGCCAAACCAAGGTAAGTAAATACCTAGAACCTCTGCTCATGAAGAGCAGGTTAACAAGGGTGATTTACTGCTGTAAGGGGTCATTTCCTCAGTGGGTGCTAATAATTTTGGTCTTGTGCCAGACTAAGTTAAATCAATAATCATACACACTGAAAAACTTTTGTAATATTTTACAATAGGAAACTGATATTGTGCATGCATTTTCATATTTATTTTCTTTTTTATTGATCAAAATACGAAGGTTTACAGATTATGATATGCTTATTGAATTGTTTCAAATGGCGCCTACAGCTTAAGGATAACATTTACATTTCACATTTTTTCTTCTATTAAAATTCTCCTGATTATTGTTATTTTATTAGTTCCAAATTTGTGTTCGTTTCTCTTTGTTTGTGTTCTTTGCCAAAACATGCCATTTGCTTCGCCGTAATTTTACTCGCCCTCCCGACCTTTAAATGAAGAAGCCCTCGGGAACATCTTCCCGTATGGTTCACCCCCAAGATCACTGCCAGACGAAACCATTTCGCAATTGACGATGAAGAGAAAACCGAATCATCACGAGATAGCCAATGGCGAGCCTCCTTCTCTTCGTCTTAGTGCTTTCCTTCTCAGTTAATACAAGAAACAATATATCCCCTGCCTGACCGCCATTCACCTTCAATTGTCGTCTTCTTCTTATCTCTCTCTCTCTCTCTCTCTCTCTCTCTCTCTCTCTCTCTCTCACACACACACACACACTCTCTCTCTCTCCATCTTGCGTGAAATGTATTTATATGGGCCCTACTCTTTTTCCCGGAGAGAAACTAAAGGCAAGTACTGCAATGCCCAGCCGAGCGTACCGAAAAGACGTCTGCCATTGGGTGGTGTCGTTCAATAATAAGATGATGCTTCCCAGCATACCATGCACGTCACTCGTCTTGGTGGTGGGAGAACACTGACTGAGGCCACCAGTTCACGGCTCAGCGGGAGGGCAAGCAGAAAAGCGCAGTGACAAATGCAAAACGTCTGACTGTTTCAAGAGTTTACACCCTACTACACGGCCAACTGTTTACTGTACTACCCGCACATCCACCTACTACGTAACCCCCCTCTCTCTCTCTCTCTCTCTCTCTCTCTCTCTCTCTCTCTCATTCGTACGTTTTCTCAGATTTTACACTTAATCATTCCTTCCGTTTGACCAAACTTACGAGAGAGATAGGTAAAAAAAAAGTGAGAGGGGAAATAGCCATAGGGGACAGAGTAATATGATTTTAGATGATCATTTCTTGTATTGTAGCGGCCAAAACTGAAAAAAAAAACTAGGAATAAAATGCATACCCCATCCTCTGCCCTTTAAAGACAACAGTAATTAACACATTTTATTTAGCGTGAAGGAAAAATGAAAAAAGCGTGATCATGAATTATATATGATTGCTTATACACGTACGTATATAGCACATCTATTGTAGCGTGATGGTTTACGAGCTCTTCTAGCAATGTAGAGAGTGATACTCACGTCGCAATGGCTAATAGGTTAACCGAGCAGACAACTACTGAGTAAGAAGCCTGCAATTACTCTTGTGTCAGACTAAGCTAAGATTTATAAATATGCGTATGTTGATGTATTTTCTTATTTACACTTTCTATATATACATATCTTTCTGACTGTTCCTATTTCTATCTCACCCTTTATCTCCACCCTCTATGCCTTCCCGCAGTGTCTCTCTTTCTTTTTTATTCCGCACTTCTCTCTCCCTTTCTCTCCTCTCTCCCCCCCCCTCTCTCTCTCTCTCTCTCTCTCTCTCTCTCTCTCTCTTTGGATATCTTTCTCTTTTCCGTATGACATTCTTTCTCCTTCTCTCTCTCCCTCTCTATCTCTTTCTCTCTCGCTTGACTAGCCCTTGTCAAGATCTTAAATAAGTGCAACAGCTTTTGGCAGCCATTATTGTTTTGACAGTAAGTTGGTTATGGGAGAGTACTTTTCCAAAGTGCTCACTTGCCTACTCTATTTTCCATCTAATATCATAACAGGTGAAAGATGAAATATTTTGTTAACATCGAATTTATCAGATCTGCTAAGTTTTTGTTTTTTTTTCTGAAATATCTGAGCTGGCTCTAAGGTTTTTCGTATTTCTTTACTTCAAAATCAATACTGATTGACAAGTTCAGTAGAATATATAACAAAGGGCTAACATGATAAAAAAAATCTCGTCCAATAAATTTTAAGATTGCAATTCTCAATTTTTGCGGCATGGGGAGGAGATTCCTTTTTCTCTGACAAAACTAATGAAAATAACAGTCAGTATAGAAAAACTCATACTGCAGAATTTATGTGTATTTTTTTTTTCGAAATGAATATTATCCATAGTGTTTAGAATTGATGTACAGGTAATATAACTGTTATCGACTCAGGAACTGAAATCGGAGAGACCAATTCAAATTCCCGCTGAGTCACTTGCGTTCACTTTCGAACACTTGGTAAGGGTAGGAAACAATCTTTTCTCATTCCAGCTATGAGTTAAATAGCAAGGTAGACTGGACTCTCTATCCTTGGTTGGTAACCAGTCAATGAGAAGAATAACTCTGAGTGTAAAACCGGATGGCAACTTCACCTCATAAAAACCTACTTGGTACAAACCTGTAGCAGTAACTCCTGTTGTGGTGAAGCTGTGTCAGTTTACCTCACAGTGGTGAGACTAAATATATATATATATATATATATATATATATATATATATATATATATATATATATATATATATATATCGTTAGAAAAAGATCCCACCCATGCAGCAAAAAAAAGCAATGGTCACCCTATGCTCAACAGGGAGGGTTAAAAGGGCTCCATATACACATACACAAGCGCGCGCACACACACACACACACATATATATATATATATATATATATATATTCTGTGATGAGTACAATATTTTATGAAAACTTTACAAATAGTCATTTTAAAAGTATGTAAAAATATACACACAAAATAACATATATACACAAATATATTAAAGCAAAGGGAGAGAATGCGCAAATATAAGCTATAAAATTATTACTCAACTTAACCGATTATCGCTCGTCGCTCTTCAGCGCTCAATCGATGACAAAACATATAAACATGTACACCACAGTTAAAATGGAAAAAAGAAAATACTAGAAGAGAATCAGTGATATAAACCACTGATAGATTACATTTACATCCAGCAACGATTCCTTCTACTTACAGAGGGAAGGTTGCTTAGACTTAATAGAATGGAGCTCAAGTCGTAATCCAAATGTACTCTGCTGACTATTGTGAAAAAACCTCAAGTAGACGATTACGTAAAATATATCTCTCGAACCTGCATTCTTATTTTCTGGGAAGCCATCTTTTAGCCAGGCGTGCCTTTACCGTTCAACTAAAAACTCTTTTGAGGCGTCTCTGTATAAACGCATACTAAACAGCCAAATTCCTCATGCAAAAACTTGTCCCTTGAAATACCTCTTGAGATAAATATTGTCAATAAAATAAATTATTTGCGATTAAAATATCAAGTAATAATTTTTTTATTGTCAGCATCTGTGAACCAGAGGGCAACTCATTAAAGAATTGACTCTATTTTCGACAAAGGTCCCAGACTAAAATAGTCACTGCTGTTTAAAATCCTGAGATTAATTTTTATCCCTATTCCACATATTAATCGGGCTAATATTTGTTATTATTCTGCTTGTTAATACAGCCTCTCAAGCATTTTCACTCTGCATATGATCTTGTGTCCTCTGAAATAATGTGATTAAGCGTTTCATTATAACACACATTATTCGGTTAAGCATTTTCATTTATTTTAATAAAAACTCACTCTACATAAATATTGATATTGTTTAAATTGGGGGGGGGGTTAAATATTGCTATTATTCCACAAATTATTTGAACCAATGTCTTCATCTTTTTGACAGAACATTGCGCTCATGACATTCTCTAGACTGCTTGCTATTTGTTATTACCTTGATTTATAGGAGACGCTGTTATTATTCCATACATTACTCGGACTTGTATTTTCCTGTCTTCAGATTTAAAATAGGCGCTTTGTCTAGATTTCAAAATCCCAATGTGTAACCATTCTTAATGACAGAGTTTCTGATTTGTGGCCACTTTTCTTTTGTTTTTTATTCCCTTTTCCCGCCTACTCAATTACCAGTGGTGATATATTTATAAAAAAAATATTTTTACAAACATCATGAAAAATAATAGATGACGACAGGAAGAGAATATAAAGAAAATGTAGAAGGGAAAGAGAAACGTAGACGTTGAATTCCAAGGAGGCAACAGACCGACCGACCAATAGACTGCGCATGCGTCTTAGTCGTTCTTCTATCGAAGCGCCATATTTGATGGATGATCAGCACATTATTGGACGATTGGAGGCGAAATGGCTAAAATTCATCACTTGGCATTGACTACAGCCAGAATAGAGTGGTTTGCCAAAAACTGTTGGTGCAAAACTAAGAAAGCCTTATTTTATTCGGCCCCTTCAGTATCGACACTCCACTTCATTCTATTTTATGTCTTTGTTCTGATCTAAAATTCCTTTTCTTTCTATCGACTTTTTTTTCTCTTCGGCTTTTGCGATCAATTTAGTGTGGCTTTAGCCGCTAGCATTTGGACACTTTTTTTTAATCTCGATCTCACTTTCCACTTTGGATGTTGTTTCTCTTATGTCCAGTCTATCCTCTTCGTGCATTTTTTTCCTTGCCATTGATCTTTCTCTCTTTACCTTCTTTACAAACTTATTTCAATTTTTCTGCTTATTTATCATATTTTAAATCCAATTTTTCCTATCTTCGTTTTTGTATATTTCTTTCCTCTTCTTTCTCTTGTTTTATTGACCATTTCTAATAATCATTTTAGTTTTGTTTCTTTCCATTGGATTTAAAAAAAAAAATTTCCTCGATTATGATGAAAGCCAGTCTTTCTTCATTATTTTAATCTATCTCCTTTAATTTTCTTTCCTGTTTTTTTTTTTTTAATTTCTAAACTTATTCTTTCCGTTTACTTCCTATTTATCCGTTTCCTTCTTTTCCTTTTCATCTTTTTTTCCTTCTTCATTTCATTATTACTTTCTTTCATCTTTTCTATTTTTATTTATTTCTTTGTTTTATTTTATTTTCATTCTTTTTTTATTTATTTCCTTGTTTCACATTTTTTTCTTATTTTTTATCGATGTTTTGTTTTCTTTTTCATTATTTTCCTTCCTTCTTGATTTCTTTTTTATTTATTCCTGGTTTCTTTCTTTTTTGTTCATTATATTTTTTTTCTTTCTTTTCTTTTTCTTTAAAATATCCTTCTACTATTTCTTTCTTCGTCACATTGCTCAGCGTTTCTTTTACGATGTTTTTATTAACTAGTTTGTTTTTTATCATTTCAAATTTTCGTCTTTATCTTTCCTTTAATTTTCTTCACTTTTCTTCAATCAATTTTCTTAACATTGTTCTTTTCTTTTTCTAAATGACTTATTTCTTTTTTATGTTTCTGGGTGACTTTTTCTTTTCTTTCCATTTTCCTCTTTCATTTACTAATTCCATTTTCTTCTCTCTTTACATCTTTCCTTCTGTCTTCTGTTGAATTTTTGCACGAGACGCTCGTTTTCTTGAAGCTGTAGGCATGTCTTTTTCTGTTCTCTTCCTTTATTTTATTAGGTTTCTCCGTCAGTCACTGCAACCTTTTCAATTAACCACACCTTTCCCGCTTTGATTTCATTCTTTTATTCTTGACTTTTCTTCAAGCTATTATTGCATTTCTCAGGTTGACTTGCAGCTGAACTCACTCTTCTTTGACTTAGTCTTTCTCTCCAAGCAATAAACTTGCATCTCACAAAACATTCTCTTCAAAATAGGGATGTAATATATATATATATATATATATATATATATATATATATATATATATATATATATAGAGAGAGAGAGAGAGAGAGAAAGAAAGAAAGACACTATTAAATCTATATACTAAATATACATATAATTATTAATAATTAAAACAATATAGTCCACTTCCCTTTTTTCCAATTCATACTCTGAATTGTTAATAAAGATTTATCTTGAACTCTGTAGTTGCAAGTACAGCTGGCCGGAATTAACCTAGTCTATCGTATATTTGGCAAAATGAAGTCTTTATTATTGTTGTTTTACTCCACATTCTTATATATATATATATATATATATATATATATAGCAAATCAAAATATTGGTAAAGTTTTCAAATACAGCGTAGCCAACACAACCCTGCCAAACCATAAAACTTGAAACGCCAAAAAATAAGGAAAAAAGGAACAGAAACTAAAACGAAACCAGCGATAAACGACGGGAAAGAAAACATCAAAAGAAAACAACCCAGAAAAGATAAAAACCTACGCAGGCAATAATAAAGTACTCAATGTCTTTGGCAAATAGACTAGAACAGAGCAGAAACCCTAACCAAAGAGCCTACCCCCCACGACACAACAATTTACCCATAATGCATCACTAACCTTTATATATAAAAAAAATCGAGCAAAAACACAACACAAATGTCCTGACGATTGCGTTTGGCATGAAACAAATTGTCGTCTCTAGGTTTTGACTTCAGTATCCACTTTATATTTATATATATATATATTACATATATATGTCTATTATATATATGATATCATGATATATAATTTTGTACAATTTTATATATCAACAAACAGCGTTTAGAAAAATATGACAATCTTGAAGTTTTTTTTTTTGTGACGAGTTTCATCCGTTAGGATTTCATCACAAAATACCTTACTAGTTTGTTATATTTTTTAAAATATTATGTGTGTGTGTGTGTGTTTGTGTGTGTGTGTGAATGTGTTTGTCTGTGTGTGTAGATAGATAGATAGATAGATAGATA